GACTTATTGTATAATCAGCTGATTTCATGTAATTACGTGTTTGTAAAACATAGTTAAATAATACGTTCTAGCAGCGTTCTTACCATTAATATCAGGTACAATTAGGGAAATATTGCATATTTTTTTGACAACTGAATAATATAATAACAGTTAATTTACAGTTAGATTTTAGCATCAAATATGTGGTCCACAACGAGTTGGTTGAAAAAGTGAAAATGAAAGCACATTTTCTTTTATTAATTTAACCTTACTTTGTTTCATCCATTTAATGAATTGCTTGTATGTAATTGCATACCTTTGTTTCGATTTTGGTGGCCAAAAGATTAGCCCAAACAGTTAGTGCTCTCATTTCCATCTCGTCAACTTCACTTTCACTAACTGACATTTTTAAATCAGTTTAATCTACCTTCCTTTAACTTCCACCAACTTAGGTTAAGAATACGCTAGTATCAACAGGAACAAGTCGGATAAACAATTAAAATTGTCAACTGATCAGCTGATTAGTTGACGTTCAAAACATTACAATTTTACTTATTTTCTCTCAATCCTTGAACCTCATTGGTCCATTACCCGTGTTATGAGAAAAACTATGCTGTTATGAAAGTAAACAGCTGTTAAGTGAAACTTTTCAATTTTAAGAACTGAATTGAAATGGCTACTTTAAAAACGGTCGTAGGTAAAATATAATTTAACAAATTAAATTATGTATGTTTTTTTCCAAAATTCCTGAAGTAGACTATAGAAGATTTTAACAATTTGACAAACCTAATAAATAATACACAGATGTATTGCATTTTACACTAGTGGCATTGAAACCGTTACAGACCAATTATACCCCCGTCGCAGCAAACCTGCAGACTAAGCGAATTTCAACTGTCTGATTACATTTTTACTAAAATATTTCCATAAATAAGACATATTTATTCCCAATTTAAATAACATTAGATTTAACAAGTTAGTAGGTTTGCTGCTATGGGGAAGGTAAAAAGTGTTTTTTTTTGACGAAACGTCAATAGTATAGGATGAAATAAATAAATTTGCAAAATTGTATCAACATATATCCATAAACAAGTAAACTACAACAGTTTTCATTTTCTCCATAAGAATATTATGGGAATTTTAAATTTACACTTTTTTTAATTTTCTCCGTAACCATTAGGCATACAACAATGCTTCAATATACTAAATTATTTATTTTTTTAAGCACTACAAAATGGTTGGGACAAAAATTCCAAAATTGTATGTTTTTAGGGTCAAAAATGGGAAAACCCATTTTTACCCAATAAAACCCCCCATAAACCCCCGTTTCCATGGTCCAATCATGCTGGTTCGCGAACTCGTTCAAATAAATGTAGGTTTACACGTTTGTACTAAATTTCATCAAAATCGGATCATTTTTGTTCGAGTTATCGTGCTAACGGACACATATACAGGGTGTTGAAAATGTCTGGAACCAGCATTATATCTGGTGAGTGGTTAAAGAAATACAACTGATATTTTGTGTACGGATATACTATGGTTTTACCTATCCTTTGGGGCCTTATGACATTCTTTACCACTTATAGGGAACGTCCTGTGGAGGATGCAGTAAAAAGTTTTAATGGAAGCCTATGGTAAATGATACATCATTTAAAAGGCCATTTTTTCTGAGTAAGGAGCCACAAGTTTCATCTCAAAAGGACCACCCTAGCGAAAATGGTGACTGTTTGAAGTTTTTGAAAATAATTGAATTTTAAACTTCAAACAGTCGCCATTTTTATAGATTTACTAGCAATAATACGGAAAAATTGGAAAACGTAAATTTCTTTAACTACACGTTGATAGATCCACAAATGCCCTCTACTAATAAATCAATATGATAAAACCATACATTTTTTGAAGCCAATAATATCATTCTATATAAGAATAACTAAATAAGATAAGTAATAGAATATTTGGTTTTCACAAAAGCAAACATGTAAACAAAACAACTGATCAGCTGTTATAGCCCACAAAACTTCACTAACTTTTTATCCTATTTTGGATCACACATGTATAAATATTTATGCAAAATAATGCATAAATATTTTGCCTAATACAAAATAATAAACTAAAACCCACACTTCGTCTTTGTTATCGGACAAAAACTCACGACGACGCCGCCATTTTAGGTTAGATGATGACAAGTGTTCTATTCCTTTAGCTTTGAAAAATCAAAAGCTTCTATTTGTGTGACCAGCCTAACAACATTGAATTCTACTGTCCTTCGTCTACAAGAGCGTATATAAAACAACGTATTTGTACTTTTCACATTGTATATATATGCGATTTAGAAATCGACATCCGCCACATGAACAATACGTAAAAATAGGCTATTTACAAAAATTGTTCATCAGCTGTTGGAATGTATTATGACGTTATACTTTATACAGAACTAGCTGTACCCGCGGGCTTTGCCCCGTTTAACTTCTTAATTTTCAAGATTATCTCGTTCGCATGGCTCAATCACGTCCTGGTTGAAGTTCGTTCGCTACGCTCACTCACCTTTAGGTTAGAGCTCGTTCGCTGCGCTCACTTGCCTTCAGATTAGCTCGTTCGCTACGCTAACTCGCCTCCAGGTTGAAGTTCGTTCGCTACGCTCACTCACCTTTTGGTTGCAAATTAGCTGTTGTCATAAATGTAAAAGAAATAATAGTGCTGCACCCTGTTGGTAATCCTTGTAACTTTAATGCTATTGAACATCATAGAACAGAACCAACTTGTTTAATTGAAACAGCTGTTAAGATTCATTAATTCCATTTCTCATAAGGTTAACATGGGAAACTCCAGAGCCACTGGGGCGGAGCCCTTTTAAGAATTTCGAAACGGGAAATAGTTTACTTTCTATTCGCATACCTACAGAATTTACACACCAAATTTCATAACGATCGGTGAAGTCGTTCCGGAGGAGTTTGCAGACAAACACTGTGACACGAGAATTTTATATATTAGATATATAACTATATAAATATATATATATATATGAATTTGAACGGATGGTGTTTTTGGCCTCTAGGGACCTCCAAATGAAAAAGTAAACCGGTCCCGGGTCCAGGTCTTACCATGAGACCTACGGTAATAGCTTATTCCCTATATGGGAAATTCGCTAAAAACATGAAATTTGAAATAAACATGTACATGGAATGTGAAACACTGGGCAGATTGGCGTATGCTAAAGAATAAAACTAACACGAATAATACAACACTTAGACACATTTACATAAGTACACAGGTCGACCACACATACATTCACACTCGCGGACGATTTTAGGTAACTTTCCTTCAAGGGTTATCAACCGAGCGAATATTTATTTCGACAACGGTTTTTTACAAAGTTTGACAAATGAAATCCTCAACTTTTGTGTGCTGGTAGATTTTAGGACAATTTGAAATTCTTTTCGATTCACTATTGATTGGAGAGAGTGACACAATTAATTGCTGTCAGTTCGAACCACGTACAATTTTATCCCAAATGCATTTTTTGAGCCTCAAATGATATATTTGATAAATGTCCAAAACTTGTTGATTGATCTGTCTAAAATAAAGTCTTCCCTCCAAGGGACAGTTAAATGTGCACTCTTGTCAAACAAATTGTTCGTAGTTTCAAACAGCTGTTCTGTATCCATCAGCGTTCGTTTCTGATTTGGTGCGGATTTTGAACATTCAAATTCAAAATCAGCACAAAAACTATAAAGCAAAGGATTAAGTTATATTATTATATTATCTAAAAATGTTAATATGATTTGAGCAGTAGGTTTTTATTAATAAATGGATTAAATCGAGTGTTACCTGAAAGCTAAATCATTTCTTTTCCAATTCAAATCATGGCTTAATATTTTTTTAAGTAAAAAAAAAAAAATTGTTCAGTGTATCAAATTGCTATACTCATTTCCGCTTACTAAACAAGACTTATCACTAAATGTAGGAACGTGTGTAATTCATAGGACAAGCGAAACCCCAGTAGATAATAGGCATTTATAGTTTTTGCACACACCGCCCATACACCTCTAGACTGCAGCGAGCGCTGTGGCAACAGTGACAAATTACAAACTTTCTATAAATTAATGTTAAAAAATTAAAGGCAGATATTTATAGTTTATTATAATATTTGTTTTAAAATATATTTACCTGATTAGAGAAAGTCTAACTTAAATTTTGAATTCATAGCAACAATGAAAGTTTTATTTTCTCCAATAATTGCCGACCCCCAGAGCGTCCTGCCCTGGAGCGACTGCTCCACTTGTTCCACGGTCGTACGCCACTGCAGAGAAAATATACGGACTAGTTCAAGATAGCGAAGGTTGGGATAAGAAAGAACAGACAGCTAAGAGAAATGTATAAACACCCAGATATAAGGGTGCTGTCCAAAAGTAAAAGGCTCGGATGGGCAGGCTATACGTGGTGGAGAGAAGATTCATCAACTTTTAAAAGTGTATTCCAAGGAGTAACACAAGGTAGACGACCACTTGGAAGATCAAGAATGAAGTGGAAAGACTGAGTAATGAAGACCTCTCCAGACTGGGGTCTACATTAGGAGAGGCAGGGGGTAGAAGAGAATGGGAGGCCACAAACCTCATATGTTTTAACCAGTGTGTGTGAATCGGCCACCAATCTCACTTCTAGGCCTTAAAAATTTAGACAATTAATTGCTGTTTTATTACAAAATAATCTTATTTAAAATGCATATCGTTCATGTCTATAATGAAAGAAATAGGTGGTCACGTGACATTTGTTTAAAAGATTATTTTTCACATTAAAACTGCCAGTATTTGTTTTTAAGTGTGTAAACTAGCTGTTCTGAATTCTATTCATATTTAATTGACTACTCAATTCCCGTACGTAGGAGGGACCAACAGCTTGTCATGTTTTAAATTGCAACTCTCTTGGTTAATATAATTTCCCCATTGCAAATTATCTCTGACAGAATTATTTATTCATACTGTGCAATTTTATGTTTTCTAAAAAGCTGTTCAACATTTTAGGTAAAGATTGCAGTTATCAATCGACTTGGGATTATGACAAAACAATCGCAAGAGCTGTAAGGTTTCACAGCATCACTTTCATGGAATGCTACAAAGATGATATATCCTTTGAAGAACTGCGGTACAAAGATTATGATTTGATAGGGACTCAGTTTTTGGACCAGGTAAAAACCATAGTTTAAGTAATTTTGTAGACATAGGTAATTCATTATTTCAGTACCTGGGGATAGAGCCATGGCTCGGTGTAGTTTGTTTCCATTTTTTTAAGCAATATAAAAGAAACTCACGTTTTATTTACAACTAATTTTGGCTTTTAGCGAATTTCCCTATAGGGAATTAGCTATTACCGTAGGTCTCATGGTAAGACCTAAGCCCGGGACCGATTTACTTTTTCATTTTGATGTCCCCAGAGGCCAAAAACACCATTCGTTCAAATTTTTATATATACTATCTTTTAATTTTACTTGGGTACTAAGTTTATTAATGTTTAATCTTTATTTATATATAGTAGCCCTATTTTTCTATTTTTCATAGATATATATATATATATATATATGTGTGTCCATCCGCACGATAACTTGAGTAATTTTTGTCCGATTTTGATAAAATTTGGATTGAAGGTGTGAGGCGGGATAAACTTGAATGAGTTCACGAACCAGCATGATCGGACTATGGGAACGGGGGTTTATGGGGGGTTTTATGGGGTGAAAATAGGTTTTTCCCATTTTTGACCCTAAAAACACAAAATTTCACAATTTCTTTTTAAACCATTTTGTAGAGCTTAAAAAAACAAATAATTTAGTATATTGAAGCGTTATTATGCGCCTAATTGTTACGGAGAAAATTTTAAAAAATTGTAATTTTAAAATTCCCTTGTTATTCTTATGGAGAACTAGCTGTAACCCGCGGGCTTTGCCCCGTTTAACTTCTTAATTTTCAAGATTATCTCGTTCGCATGGCTCAATCACGTCCTGGTTGAAGTTTGTTCGCTACGCTCACTCACCTTTAGGTTGGAGCTCGTTCGCTGCGCTCACTTGCCTTCAGGTTAGCTCGTGCGCTACGCTAACTCGCCTCCAGGTTGATGTTCGTTCGCTACGCTCACTCACCTTTTGGTTGCAAATTAGCTGTTGTCATAAATGTAAAAGAAATAATAGTGCTGCACCCTGTTGGTAATCCTTGTAACTTTAATGCTATTGAACATCATAGAACAGAACCAACTTGTTTAATTGAAACAGCTGTTAAGATTCAATAATTCCATTTCTCATAAGGTTAACATGGGAAACTCCAGAGCCACTGGGGCGGAGCCCGAAAGGATTTTTGAAATAAGAATATGCCTATATGTTAATCGGGAATGTGAGCTATCATCATGCCAAATTTCAGCCCAATCCGACCAGTATTTTTCGAGTTTACTTTTCCCATACACACATACACACATACATGCAACCACCTCTTTTTTATAATAGTATAGATAGATAAGTCAACTGTTGTAGTTTGCTTGTTTATGAACATATTTTGATCAAATTTGGAAAATACATAAATTTCTTACTAAACCACAGTACCTTTTAATATTTTACATTAAAAAAAAAACTTGTTTACCCTCCCTGTTGCAGCAAACCTAAGTACTCATTAAACTAATTCTGTTTAAATAGGGAATAAATGTGATATTTTTTAGGAGACATTTTAGTTTAAATCCAATCAGGCAGATGGAAATTCGCTAAGTCTGCAGGTTTGCTGCGGCGGGGGTATTATTATTTAAAATTCAGTGGAATTTCAATGTACAGTATAACCTCTCTAATCCGGCACTGCACCACTCCAGCACTCCAGTAATCCGGCGTCTTTTGACGGGAGGTCTTCCGCGATCGCGGCAAAATTCTGATTATCTCCCGCGGCCATGTGGACATCATAATTCTCTCACGTGGTCATGAAAACGTCATCGTCGTCTTGCGCGATCGCGGCAAAATCATTAAAATCTCCTGCGGTCACGGAAAATTCATCGTCGTCATGCGCGATCGCGGCAAATTCATGAACATCGCCAGCGGACGTATAGACGTTATCATCGCCTCCCGCGGTCACGGAAACGTCATCGTCGTCAAGCACGATCGCGGCAAAATCACGAACATGTCCCGCGGACGTATAGACGTTATCATCGCCTCCCGCGGTCACGGAAACATCATCGTCGTCAAGCACGATCGTGGCAAAATCATGAACATCTCCCGTGGTCATGTAGACATTATTGTTGCCTTCCACGGCCGCAGCAAAAATTTTATCATCTCTCGCGGCCAAGTAAACATCATTGTCTACTCCCGCAGTCCCGGAAATTTCATCGTCGACTTGCGCGATCGCAGCAAAATCATGAACATCTCCCGCAGTCACGAAAACGTCATCGTCGTCATGCGCGATGGCGGCAATTTCACGATTATCTCCCGCGGATGGTTAGACGTTATCATCGCCTCCCGCAAATACGTAATCGTCATGCCCGATCGCGGCAATAGCGGTTTCCGATCACGCGAATTTCGGAGACGTGTTTTAATTGCATTTTAAGTGTTTTTAATGATAACATTCCAGTAATCCGGCAGTATGGCGGTCCTATATCTGCCGGATTACTGAGAGTCTACTGTATTATGATGGGAATTTTAACCTAGCAATTTACAACACAGGGTTCCCACTCAACCATGAAAACCTTAAATCCGTGAATTATCCTTGGATTGGGTCATCCGTGAAAAAACCTTGATTTAGCTGTGAATTTGTTTTTGAAACCTTAAAACCCCAAATATGTCTCCTGGAGACAACACAAGGGGCGAGTCGTATGAAACTGAATGCAGTGATATCGAGATTGTTCTGTGTGTGAGTGAAAGACAGACAGATAATTGATAATTGATAATTTGTTTATTTTTCCTGTCACAGTTTGGACCTACGGTCCACTCTTCCACTGTAACAGGCAGAATATTTACAAATATTACAAATCAGTTGTGGTTCTAACTAAAACTTAAAATTGCACTTTTTAAAAAATACACTTGCACACATAACTTTTTTTTCCACTCTTGGTCCTAATTTACATTGGTTTTATCATTAACTAACTTAAATATTTTCTTAACAATTTGTTTTATAGCTTCTTGCTAAACACATTATAACTATCACTAGTTCTTATGTCATATTCTAAATCATTCATAAACCTAATAGAAGTAACATGATACAATTTATTGTATGTTGCAGTACGGTGTATAGGAAATTGAAGTAGGACATTACCAAAACGAGTCTGTCTTTGGTGTACATCTGCTAATCTATTATATTTTTCCATTATATACTCGGGTTCTCCACTTTTAAATACTTTAAATGTCAGTCGTAAGATACCATATTACCAACCCAGTCTATGATAATATTGAGTGACATGATCATCCCACTTTAACCTAAAAATAAACCTAATACAAGCATTTTGCGCTCTTTGTAATTTTGTAATAAATGTTTCAGTCAAGTCACAGAAAGATAAACTAGCATAGTCAAAATAGGGTAATACTAGTGCATTTACTAATAGACGTCTAATATCTTCTTGTGGATTAAAACACAATCTTTGCAATTGGTATATACATTGAAAAACTCTCTTACATATGTAATTTACTTGGTCATCCCATGATAACACGTTATTCATCCTTAACCCTAGGTTTACTACACATTGCTCATATTGCAAATCTCTACCATTAATCTGTACATTGGGTATATTGGCTAAACAAATGTTTGAAATCAATCTAGAATTTCCTATTATTATCGGTTTACATTTTACAATATTAAGATTTAACCCATGATCTGAACACACCTATGTAGTATCAGTATTATTTATCATTCTGTTGATTTAATTTAATTGACCCTGAATATAAATTGGCATATCGTCAGCGTACAACAAACTTTACTAAATCGTACGAGAGAGAGAGAGAGGGGGGGGGGTGTGTGAGCTGTGCAGGGGGAACTCCGATTTCTGGTATTATGTTTGAGTGAAGTCCAAGCTTAACTGATGGAAGTTTGGAAACTCAGTCGTCTGTTATTTGTGCTTTGAGAGCCGATTTTAAGGAGCGATGCCACCTTTCAATGGCCCCATTTGCTGCAGGATGGTAAGCTGTAGTTCTTATGTGATTTATGCTAAGCATGGATGTCAATGATGAAAACAATTCACAATCAAACTGCCTGCCTCTATCGGTAGTAATAAAACGAGGAACGCCGAAGCGAGATATCCATGAGTGCAAAATAGTGGAAGCAACTTCTTCCGCGGTGATGCATGAGATTGGGATCGCTTCAGTCCATCTTGAACACCTATCGATGATGGTTAAAAGGTTCTGATATCCTCTTGAAGGAGGTAAGGGTCCAACAATATCAACATTCAAGTGAGAGAATCGTTTTTTGGCAGTAGGGTAGGCACCAAGTTCGCTAGAAGTGTGCCACCATGTTTTACAGCGATGGCAAGGAATAAAAGTTTTTGTCCACAATTGTTGTTTTACACTACACACCTACCTTCTTAAAGTGATGAAAACTATAAAGATAAAATTAGAAAAAAACTAGACTTTTTAAAACCACACTTCTATTTTCAACAACTCATATAAAACTATTATGACAACAACAAAACAAAATCATATGACAATTAAATTAAATCAAAGTTAATATTCATCATATATACAGACTAGGAGATATAACATCCTCCCACCGAGTAGTATTACTACTCAAACATGAACCTTTTTGGAACTTTGATTTTTCGTCCAGCTTGTGAGACGTGCTCCCACCGTGGCGGCTAATAATTCCAACCTTGGAATCGTGGTTTTCTTCAGAGGAGCAACTCTTGATTTTTCAGACAATAATTGGACTCTTACTTCATCTTCAATTTCAACTCTCAAGTAAATAACTGTAGCATAGGCATCTTTACTTGCGTCGCAAAATGTATGAATACTACAACCATTTGAATCTATAGTCATTTTACCTATCCATCGGGGTATTTTCACTTTTTCAAGAGCGCTTAACTCATTATACCACAGTATGAATCGTTTACTGATGTCTGAACTTACTTCAGTGTCCCAGTCAATTTTCAAGTCCCACATACTTTGCAGAAGAAGTTTAGGAAACAAAGTAACAGGGCAAAGGATACCAATTAAATCAAAGTTAATATTCATCATATATACAGACT